GCAAAGGCCATATTCTGATGTCACCAGATATGGTGCTTCTGAATAGTCTTTCATGTAGGATTTTATTTCAGGGTTCTGTAAGAGTTAATTTTTTATTTTTTTTTTTCATTTATAAAGAGAACCTCAGGGATTCCAGAGGGATTTTGAGAAGGGCAATTATGAGTCCTAAAAACACCACTGGAAAGAAATACTGATTCTCTAAACAATACAGTTGAAGACAGAAGACACATTAACTGTCTGCATTTCCCTTCTAATATTCATAAGACAAGAAAGAGTATCTAATTTCGAGAGTTTTTAAATAGATTTAGATCACCAGAAAATTGCCCCATCCCACATAGGATGCAAAAATCCAGCAATCCACTATTAAATGAAGCTGTTCCATATAAACTGTGAGCCAACTGACCCTGGAAATATAGTACCCAAGTTGCGTGACTTGAAAATCTGTTCAAAGCAAGGCATGGCTGCAGGCCTTGACTGTTGTACTTTAGTAGCCATAGTAACATGGTCTCTGGAGACCTAATGCTAGTGAATTTTCCTTTATTTCAAGGAAGAGTAATAAGAGAAATGTGGATTGGAACTTGTTCTCTCTCTTTTTTTTTTTCCCCTCCTCCTTATTTTTACTATGCCATGACCTTGACCAAAATATCTTTGAAGTCTTTTCTGGCTGATTTTCTGCTATGAGACCAGGAAAAAAAATCAGGATATATAAAGGATCTTGCCAAAGGAAGTCCTATCTTCCTCAAAATATTTGCCTTCATTCCCAAAGAGAACCTCTTGACTAATAATGTTTCAAAAGCTTCTTAATGGAAGGAACTGATAAATTTAATCTCACAGCTACTGTGGGCACCAGAATAATATCATACTTTCTTTGAACTGACAGATTAATTGTTTTTTTGTTTCAGTAGCAGGTGCAGCTTTTCGTGAGTATATAATTGGATGTACATGTTTTTTCAAAAGAACACAGGCCCCTGCCTGGTGCCAAGCTCTTCTTTTTTTTTTCATTTGGGAAAAAACTCCCACATGATTTCATTTTTTAAGTACAATGTAGAAAACTCATGTAAGTGTTTTTAAAAAGCCAAATACAAACAAACAAATGTTCACAATACATACTTAAGTCTGTCTCACATGTTTCAGCTATTATCCTGGATTAGAAATTCCATCTGTCATTGAATCCATATGGTTTACCAAATGGCAGTTTAAAACCATGTATTTTTTGCAGATTTGAAGTGAGTTGTTATAAAAGTTTTAAGGTCCATATATTTTTGCATGTGTGTTTTTTTTATGTGTGCAAGTGACCCTCTGTGCATTTGAAAAATATGCAATAGTACTAAAAATTTTCGGATGCAAGTGGACTTTACTGATTAAAACATGCTAGTTGTACACAATGCAAATACCATTAACTTTGAGTTGTGGAGTTTGGTTATTTCATCCTCCAAATAAAAGAGCCCTGTTTAGGCTTTCCATTATTTCTACTGAAAGGATTAAAGTGAAATGAAGAGAGCTGCCTTTACTTCTCTGTGCTGTCCCCTCAGTGTTTTGGGTGAACACCGTCTTACATTAGGGAGCGTGAACTGCACATGGGATGAGGCTGGTCCGCATCCTGTTCCCCTTTTCCTCTCCCCAGGTTATCAATTACCCAGGCAGATGGCTGCTGTGATTCTGACACAGCACACCACTGAAGCCTCCCGTTCACTGGGAATGAGAGAAAGCTATTGCTGACAATTTTATTTCAATAACTGAAGACATTTAAAAATTATAAGTGGAGCTATATACTTTGTTGTCCCTTTTAATGTCACACCTGGTAATTTTGAACAGAAAAATGGAAATACTTTTGCTCATTCTCATGGACTGAAGTTGTCTCTCTTTTCCACTCAGTCACTAGGCTTCTGGCCTGCAAAATGGAAAAATCTCAGTGCAGTGTTACTATAAAGGGCTTCAGTATGGAGTTGATATTTGGTACCTGAGAGATTCATCTGAGAAGCTGGAAGAGTTATTTTCCTACTAATTTGCAATCACCATTACCCACTCAGGGGTTCCAGTCCTGTGCTAGCAAATACCCACCTCTTTATCCCCGCCTGTGGCAAATAGATAAGAAAAATATAAATCCCAGCCCACTCTGACTCTACTCAAAGTCCTCTATGCTACAGATGTCTGTTTTCACACTGAACTGTACTTCGGGGTAATATTGAGAAAACAGGAGAATTTGCAGCCATGAGTGAGACTCACTGGTTATGAAATTTTGCTTTACAACCGGTTTGTCTCTTTTTAATGGGGTTGAAGCAGCAGGTTTCCCAACTAAAATGAGGTTAAACACTTGGAATTTGTGTTAATCCTCAATAGACTCATGTGGCTCCATAAAAGTTGTTTTTGCACCAAAGTGGGTATTGCTTTTCCTACTTGCGGGGCAGAGCATCAGATGTCTGCATTTGGGGTCATGAAAAACAGGCGATGCTTAGTTAAGAGATCTAAACTCAGGAGAGGACACCAGGATTTTGAGAACAAACCAAAAACAAAGCAGAGGAAGTTTGTAACTCTCTTCAAATCCGTATTTGTTTCTGGCTTAACCTCAACACATGGCTCCTTGAACTTTTCCTCCTCTTCTTCTTTCCTCTTGCTCCTCCCACCCCTTCCTTAATACCTCCTCCAACCTCACAGATCTAATTGCCAGTGCACTGATCTGAACCCTTAGAAATCCACATGGTCCCTTTCCAGTTTTTACAAACTGCTGCACCTAGTCCTGACTCGGGCTCTGTGAAAGAAAAACTTGTGAAAAGAAAAACCTTCCTGTCTTCCGCTGTGGGGGAGCAAATTTTATGTTTTAAAGGTAGATACTTATGTCTTAGGCTAGGTGTCTAGGCCTAAAGAGTATGTACCAATATGTTGAAGAAGATTAATTTTTGAGTAGGGGAATTTATTTCTTGATTCATCCAAGCAATCTTTGGCAAAGGCACATGTTCCAGTGCTATTTCCTACAGGGGCTGAAACCTAGGAGATTCTTTAATTATATTTGGATCTTGTGGCCATTGTTTAAGCCTTTCCAGGTAAGGCTTGGTGCATTAGTTTGCGTAGCTTAAGAACTTCTTTTTAATGAAGAACATTTCTTTCATTTCTTTAATGCTTTTAATTTCTACCTGCCCCGGCTTCATGGGCAGGACTGGAGGTCTTTTGGAATATGCATGGTAACAACCACAGACATAAAGGAGCTCCCTTAAATGTCCTGTGGTTATCTTTGTGGAAAATTTTAGTCTATCTAAATTAAAAGGCCCACCAGATGTTCAAAATGTAATAAAATTCCTAGTATCACATCACTGATGGTTTCATTGCTGTGAAGATGAGTCCAAAGAGACAAGATGCCAGAAATGGCTTCTTGTGTCCATTTCACATTGGAAATGTGTATGACAGATACCATCTATAGAGGTTCCTCTCAGTATGGTGAAAGGCACAGATGTGAAGATGCAGAAATCTTGACACATCATCTTCTGGTTGGTGAGGTTCTGGGACAAATTTGGGCCTTATTTAGAGCAGAAAATAGCACCAGTTGAGCAGCTGCTTGTGCTTGAAGAGTTGACAAGGATAACTAGTATTCAACACAAGCCCAACTAGGTAGAGATAACACTTATTCTGGAAAGGCTTTGTATTTATGGAGCTGACCTGGAACAAAACAAGATTTGCCCTTGACTATTCTTAGCAATGACTTATGGTTCGCATTGACTTGATTGAATCACTTGCTGCTACAGCTCTTTCCAAATGTAGGTGAGCCATTGCAGGCTCCCCACTTCATTTCTCCAGTCATCTTCTCGCAGGTTCTTTAAGGCAGAGAGCCTCTGGCCAAGTGTGGTCCCATGGGGCCACGTTTCCAAAGGTGCTCCACATTTATGGTTGGGGCCAAACCTTCTGAGGAGGTCAGTCTATTGTGCATTGAACTCTTGAAAATCTGCCCAGCATTGTCACAGTGGGAACAGCCTTCAAGCAGTCTTGGAAATCTGGTCCTTATTTAGGAACTGAAAAGAGAACCAAACTCACAAAAATATGTCAGTGTATCTGGTTACTGAACAACTGAAAATCCGTTCTCCTTGTGCTTTAGGATTAACTCAGGATTAATAGACACATTAGTAAATTGAGAGTAAGGTGAAGCAGGGATAGTAATAATTTCGCACTATTTCAGCAACAGCTATTTGAACTGTAATGTCAAAAGACCCCAAAAACATCACATGACAGGATCTAAACTACTTTGGAATGCAACCTGTTGGAGTAAAGATTTTACTAAACCTTTATCAAGGGAAGAGGCAAAATTCTCAGTTCGTATGCAACACGATCTTACTGTTTATATCATGTATTTCATTTATACCTTACTTTTATTTTTGGATTTCTCTGATTGTTTTCCTTGCATCACCAAGTCTATAAGAATTAATTTAACTCTTTCCTAGATTAAATATTGTTCTATAAAAGAGGTACTTATTGCTTATTTTTTATATTCATTGCATTTATGCAATTATGTTACGTGTTTTTTTAATAAGAGCTTAAGAAAATAGTCATACTTTAAAATACAGATCCAATTTTAAACTCATAGCTACAACAGCACATGTATTTAATTTTTATATAGGAAATTATTATTTTCAATGCCTATATATTCAAAGCAATTACTATGGAATATGAAAGTTTAAATTAAAAGGAAAAACAAGGTAGTTGACTTTCTATTAAACTTTTAATTTGATGAATAATGACAAAATATAATTGTGCAGATAATTAATTAGACAATAAACTAGTAATGCAATATGGTAGTTATACTGTAATTAACTATCTTAACATTTTAAAGGAAAAAAATCAGGTTCCAGGTTGTTATTAATTTTTCATGGTAGGAAAAAAAGGCCTTTATGGTGTCAAACTTTTTGCAGAGTGATTTTTTCATATCTAGAATATTCTTAAAATTATTACATTTATACCAATTTTATTCTTCATTTTCTGATTATCTTTTTAATTATTTTATTTTCCTTTTTCAGTCACTGAATGGGTTTGCGTTGGTGGTGAGTGCAGATGGAATGATATTTTATGCGTCATCTACAATTGTGGACTATCTAGGGTTTCATCAGGTAAATATATTGACAAGTTTTAGAATACTTAGTCACTGTCATTGTATTGACTTTCTTGTTGCCCCTTCTGCTAGCTGGCTTTCTAAAACGCAGCACTGTATGTTGCTACCTTATCTACCTTATCCTTCTACTGCTGATTAGACATATACTATAACTGAAATTCAGTTATTTTACTATGCCATTTCAATTTTTTTTTTTTGTGATCAGACAGGTGAAGATTTATTTCTTGCCATGATATTCCCTTTGTAAAGCGTTTGTTAATAGAAACATGATCCATTATAAAAGGTAGATTTAGCTAAAAGTTTCCTTTCAATTTCAGTATAAGATGCTGTTTTTCTAGGCTGGTTGTCTGTGAGTCATAAATATATTGTAAAGTCACAGAATAACAGAACCATGTAATTGGAAAGGGCCTCTGGATGTCATCTAATGCAACATCCTGCTCAAAGCACATCCAGCTAGAGCATGTTGGTCCTGGGCTCATCTAGTCAAGCTCTGAGTTTCTATGACCCCACTGGAAGATGTGTTCCAGTGTTTAACCATCCATGCTGACCGTAATTTTTTTTTCCTCTTATTATTAAGTCCCAGTTTCCCATGTTGTAACTTGTGTCTATTGCTTCTTGTCTTCCCACTTTGCTCTTATGAGAAGAGTCAGGCTTGGTCATCTCTTCATCTGCTTGTTTGGTTGATGTAGACAGCAGTAAGTTCTTCCCAAGGTTTTCTCTTCTGAAGGCTGAACAAACCCTGTTCTTCTCTCCTGATACATCATGTGCTCTAGCCCTCTTAAGTGTCTTGGTAGCACTCTCCTGGGCTCATTTCAATATGCTAATATCTTTTTTTTCCTGGGATACCCAAAATTAAGAGAGAACTTTGCCTTTGTTGAACTTCCTGAGGTTCCTGTCCACCCATTTTTACAGTCCATCAAGGAGCTGTTCTGCTCTCCCCAGCTGGAACCCTCTGCAAACCTGCTGAGAGTGCACTCTATCCCATGATTCCTTAGTCAAGACATTAAACAGGGTTTGTCCCAGCATTAATCCCTGGGGGTTGCCACTAGTCATCAGTTGCCAGTTGGATGTTTTCATGGCTCACATTTGCATATGTACAAAAGAGTTAAGAACAGAAAGAATCACCTTAGGATGTGAAGGGAAAAAGCAGACGTTTAAAAATAGGGGCCTCTGAAATAACTTTCCTCACTCAATCTGCTCTGAAAGTATCCTACACAGCCTTTATTTTAAGGAAAGTATCAATCTAAAGATAAGCATCTGCCCCCCTACACTTACTAATTAAGCATTCCTTGTTGTAATCGTTTCAGACTGATGTAATGCACCAAAACATATATGATTACATTCACGTGGATGATCGCCAGGATTTCTGTAGACAACTGCACTGGGCCATGAATCCTCCCCAGATGTTGTCTGGACAGCAACTACCAACAGAAACAGGTGGGATTGTCTATGTTGGTTGGAAACACAGGCACCACTGTAGAGAGATAGAAGTGCATTCCATCTGTGCCCATGCCTACGCTATGTCAAGTCAGATTCTTCACCAGAAAGCTACATAGGGGCATTTATTTATGTCATTGTCTCATAGATGACATTTCTTCGTGATCCTTGGCATTTATAAGGTAGTGTGTGCCATTGAGGCCACTAAGTTGTTTTCTTTATGTTTCTCTGAGTAATTACATATATTCTTCGCACGCAGAATGAACAACATCAGTCTTCATCCTACCAATCTGTTGTTGACACTGATCAGGACATGAGTATTCCTCTCATTAATGCAAAAAAATCCCATGCAAAATGTTTATGAACAGAAACACAGTGGCAGCACCACTTTCTGCCATTTGTTTTCCCATGCAAAATTATGTAGACAGGAGTCTTCTGAAGAACAAGTAAGTTTAGCAATGCACTTTTTCTTTTGAGGCTGTATTTCCCTAGGATGCCAGTTGGATACCCGTGCTCAAGATTTGTTCTACATGAGGCATTAAGCTGAAATCACAACTACAGAACATAAAATCAGGTTGAAATTGTTAACTTTATAAAGAATTATTGATACCAGCAAAATGTATGCATTTCATTTACTGAGGAAGTAATTGAGGAAATAATTTGGGAATCACAGTCACCAGCTGGGTGAGGAGAAACTTGTAAGAAATCCTTCAGCAACTTTTAAGAAGTCTGCAGGAACGCAGTCATGAAACTTGCATTTCTTGTAAAACAGTTTCTATGTTTTAAAAGAGACTTACATATATCTGAGGAACTTGCCAAAATTTTGTAGGAAGCACACAGAAAACAAGCTAAACAACATGCACTAATATTTCAAACTATAACATTTACAAATATTTGGAATTTTTGTTCTAATCTATATCATGGAGAATTTCAGTTCTTGAGTTCATATTTTATTATAAATACTTGTGTCTTTTGAGAAGTATTTCAAAAGCTGAGCACTTACAGTTCAAAAGTGGAAAACGCTTCATTAAAAATCAAGGAGGCAACAGCTGAGCATTAGCTAATCAGCCACTGTCCATTTTTTTGTTTTGTTTTTTCTTGCATTAGCATTTTTCCTTACTTTGTTCCTTTTTCTAATGCATTTTCTGTGATCTCTGATCTCAAAACCAGCAACATCTGCTACCCCACTTCACATCATTAAAAATTACAAAAACTCAGGAAATAAAGTCAAAGTTTCTGGAGAAACTCACCTGAACTCCATTGTAGAGCTTTTATTTTATTTTTGGTAGGACGTGCAGATGTATCTATACATGTTACAATTTAATATTCGCCCGTCCATAAAGCAATTTTTAGCAATTTCTGTAACAGCCTCTTCAATTGGCTACAGAACATTTTCATTATTTCTTAGTGTGATCTGATCTGTGTTGCCTTCACTGTTGGTCCTAGGAGAAGAATATATTCTCAGTAAATTGTTTAAAGCACAAGAGAATGACAGCATGACAACAGATTATTCTTCCTTCTTAACTCGCTGTTTCATCTGTCGAGTTCGCTGCTTGTTGGACAGTACTTCTGGATTCCTTGTAAGTATAATTCCACTCAGATGACTGTAGTCATGACGTACAAGATTTTAATGACTTATATGAAAAATTCTTCAACATAAATATCGAACATAAATACTGTAGAGAGCCATGGTCAGGATACATTTTTCTTTGCTGTGCACTAACAAGAAACACCTGAAGATAATTATTAATATGCGTAAAGAAGATAGGAGAAAAAAAAGGTTGTAATATTTGAAATTGAAAAAATCTAGAAACTTTTATGTTGTAAGTTCTTTTAGACAGTATCTGTCCTCAATTTTTCCTGGGCACAGCACAAGAGTGGCAAATCTGAATTTCAACAATTAACATTAAAGCTCAAAGCATTTGCTTTAAGGAACAGGAAAAATAATGATCCGTTTTCCCCTTTCTAAAAGAGTCCTTTAATAATAAACCCAAGAATAAGAAAGTCTCTCTCATGCTCCTTTCTAGAAATCACTTCTCCGTTTGCTTAGTAAAGACCAATGGTGTTTCTACTTAAGGGAAACTACGGCATGTGCGAAGAAAATGAGAGGATTAGCGTGAGACAGGGAAATACAACTTCTCTCTCAAATGCTCATTGCTGGGAAACTATGGGTCTTAACAGCCATATTAGTTAGTCATTTCTACATCCCTGTTTTAATCTTGTAGCTCTGGAAAATGTCTAAGTCAAAAGGGCAAAAGGGTCATTTATTGGTAGGTAATTTTTTCACTGAGGGGCAGCAGCTTGCTGTTAGCTTAATCTCTGCCTTCTGACTATAAAGATACTTGAGGCAGGGATGGATGTTCCTTTCAAGCTATGTACTTTGTATCTGGCTATCTTGAACTTACCTTTTCTCTTGGCATCTGTCTGCACAGTCCTTGGCTTGTGCCAGTTCAAAGAAAGTATAGAGCAAGAGGAAAAAAACTAAGAAACCATCTCACTGGAGAGAACAGAGTATGGAAAAATAATGGTTCCAGCCTCAGTGAGGTACAGCAGATAAAGGTGTTTGCAGCACTGTACACTGCTCATCTTGGTGAACAGAGGGTAACACAGAACTTCTGCTTTGAGTGCACAGGAGAGAGAGGAAAAATCAACCTTCTTCAAATGTCTCATTTTAGTGTTGATAGAATCTCCGCCCACCATGCCTCTGAAGTGGCATGATTTAAATTATACAAAGACAATGAAATTCCTAGTTTTAATCTCTGATTCAAAACTTGTTTTGGTGTTAAATAACATGGTCCATACTTTGTATTAGCATTTTAAGTGTTTATACACTAAATGCTTAACATATATATTTTTTTTTCTTTTGCATACCAGACAATGCAGTTCCAAGGCAAACTAAAGTTTCTCTTTGGACAAAGGAAAAAGTCCTCATCAGGAACAGTATTGCCACCTCAGCTGTCCTTATTCTGCATAGTGGTACCACTTCTGCTCCCTTCTGTGACAGAGATGAAGATGAAAAGCCTACTTGTGAAAGCAAAACACAAAGCTGATGATGCAACAGCAGCAAACACAAAGTATTTACTAATTAATCTTTTGGCATTTATGAAATTCATGTTTATTAAGCATGTAAAAAGCACAAATTATGTCAAATAACTCTTAAACTCTTTCTTAGAAAAGTGAATAATTTATCTGGATTTAACTATTTAATATAAACCAAAGATAATAGAGTTACTATAATATAATACGATATAATACAATATAATGCAAGAAAATACAATATATTGTAGTTTATACATAATATATGTTAAGTATTTTATTACTATATATAAAGTTTTATATTAAAAAATGAAACATTAGGATATCTTCCTAAGTTACCAATGCAGCAAAGTCATTCCATTAGCTGTAAAAATGGAAAAGAAAATGTTTTTTTTACTGGGAGTTTTCACATTTAAGTATCTTCTGGTAACACAATTATTTGGACTTGAGTATTTTGTTAACAAACAAAGGAAAAGGAAAACTTCAGAAAGCTGACTGTGCATGTGTAGGGGTGTTCACATAGAGGCTAATGAGTTATACTCGGTGTATGCATTTATCTTTCAATAGAAGTTTTATGAACACCTAAGTTTACAATTGCACTAAATGGCTTGGGGGTGATAATTTGGTAGCCATCACAAAAGATTGGGACAGATTGTGTTCAAACTCATTTCCTTCCTAACATTCAGTTTTGTTACTCTTCTATGATTGAATTTTGGTTGATGTTTGGAGCTAGGACTATGTTTTCCCTTATTTGGTTAAATATAATCTTACTGTAATGAGGTCGATTGCTGTGAAGCAAAATGTTCATCAGTATGACCAACAGTGACATAATTTGGCTTTTACTTAGATTATGTTTGCGTATGTGTGGATTCACTATCCAGACGTATAATGTGATTCTAGAACATACATGCTTTTGACAAGAACTTGCTAGAAGGCTGGTATAATGGAATATGAAGGCTTTTGGAGTAGAGTTGGAAAGTCATTTCCACTTGCTAGTTTTTTCAGAGGCCCAGGTGAAATTAACTGATGATCAGAATTCAGCTCCTAGAAGAGAGGTGCTTTACTTAAGTTTTGCTATCTGACTGGACAATGGCCAAGGATTTGACCAGAATGAAGCACTCATTTATCTTCAGTGTTTTCTTTGGTTCAGGCCTGAAGCATGGTAGCCAAGGATGTGGGCAAACTTATGTAGTACTTTTTTTCTGATGGTTTTAACAGAGGGAAACATCTGTAAAGCAGTGTTGCAGACATTGCGCCCTTTTCAAGCCCTAATATGCATTTTCAACTAAAGATTGGAAGAAATCCATTCAAATAATTATAGTGATTATTGCAAATTGAAGTCTTAACTCTTAAATGCATTGCTGGTCACTGTGATGTATGTACCTCAAGTGTACTTTGAATAGGCAGAGGAGAGTATACACAGCATTTGTCTCAAGTCAAGCTGAAATTTATTGTTCCAGACATAGTCATGGGTAGAATATTCCTAAACATAGCTATTCCTCTTAATTGAATACAGAAATCCAGTTACACACTAGTTTGAGCAACTGAATGATGCAGGAAACAGATAATTATTTATTCTTAGTTACTACATACTTAAACTATAAGTCTTTGCTAATGGTCAACAGCTTGAAGATCATATCTTTTAGAGACTGTGATTCTACTGTGTTGTCATCCACTGACAAGGAATTTTCCACCTTTTCTGTCCTCTACAGCTCCAGTTCAAAAGGCAGTTCAGGGCTGTGTGAAGCAACAGAATTGTATGGAAGGAACAGTCACCATGAAGGTACCACTTTCACTAATGCATTACAGATTGCTGAAAACCAAATCAAAGGTGTGTCTGCTAAGTACTTCTGGATGACATCCAGTTTATGGAAAAAGAACCTTGTCTTATTTCTTCTTGCTAGGATTTTCAGGTTTTGGTCCCAGTGCTCCCTTTTTGCTTCTCTCTAACAACTCTTCTTTAAAAAAAAAAAGAAAAAAAAATTGTCCACCTCAAAAGATAATGCTGAATCAGTCTGTGATTTCAGAGTGGGTAGAAAGTTTACAGAGAAATAAACAATCATAGTGAAAAAGAATACTCAATGTATGCTTTCCTGAGAGTGACAGCACTGAATTTAATAACATTGTGTGAAAACCATAATAATTAATAACAATATCTATCCCTCTGACGAAAACTGGATGATATGTTACAAATGCTAGTTTTCCCCAAAGATTAGAAAACAGAGGAAAATTAGAATGCATTGTCTTTAAAACTCATGATTTGTTTGCAGCTTTGACTCATGTTTTTCCAGTGCTGGGCTGTGGAAAAATTATGAGTCTATGCTGTATTTCAGATTTTACAATGGATAAAATTTTGATGGAGAGTCTACCTCACTGGGCAACTTCTTAAGCAGAATTGTACTCCTCTTTCTATGATATCTGCTGGAAATCTTTAATGTCTTTGAAACCATTCCTCTCTTATAGCCCCATTTTTCATGAATTTTCCTGTTGGTGTAGTACTACTACTACTGAGAGGGAAAAATTATAAGGAATGAGTAATACTGAAAAATCCTTGGGTACAGTTTAGGTGCCTCATTAGGCTTTTCACATTTTAGTTTTAAAATGTAATTTGCCTCATTTTGTAACTCTCCTATGCTGATGATTCCAGGGCAGCAAACAAACCTGTGAACATTCACCTGTAGTTTAGGTAAGAAAAAATACTAAATACTGCTTGTATTAAAATAGATTTTCTTTTAAATTGTATAGCAAAGAATAATGGAGAAAATGGCATTTCTCTAGTCAAAGTACAAACAAATGAAGATCACTGGGTCTGGGTTCAAGCTAACACTCAACTTCTGTATCGAAGTGGTTGTTCAGAATATGTCCTTGCCCAACAACAAATGTTAAAGTAAGTATATTTTGCAGTACTGAAAGATAAAATTCAGAAAAATGAATGTATTCTTTATGTATGAAATTTTTAAAAGGACTGTAGTGACCTAAGAGAAGAGCTAAATGAGAAGAATTTAGTTTACTTATGATAAGGAAATCCATTTCTGTCTTGGAACATACAAAATGGCTGTTAATAATATTAAATAATAATAATATTAAACAATATGTATTTTCTGTCTTCAGGGTTTTTTTTCTTCTGCAGTTGAGTGTACGTACATACTAAGACAGAAACAAAATGCTTGATTATTAATATGTTTTAACTGTCTTGCACTAAAATGTATTTTGTGGTTTTGTTTTGCAGCTGAAAACCTAGAGTCCTAGTTTTTATACATATCAATATTTAATTATGTTAAACTTTATTTTTTTCTTTATGGATGACAGTTGAGCTCATGTTCTGTATATGCAACATAATCTAAAGAAGTGTATTCATATTCATTTTATGTTTGTAGATAGATACATCTAGTTGCCTGTAGGCTCAATCATGAACTGTAAACAAATCTCACAGATTTGCATTGAAAGAAGACCTCTCAGCTGAGTTTTACTCTTTTCTCCCAAATAGACTTTTCATCCTTCCCCATGGGATTGTCCGTTCTAGTTCCTGTGGGCATTGTTGAGGTATCTCTTCCAGCTAGTCTGAGGGAGAAGATAAGAGAGTGGACTGAATAAGGGACTGAGAGTTGTACATAGCCACCATCTGACTCAGTGTTTAAAATGTGGCTATCCACAGATTTTTTCCTTTAGAATGCATTGCAGATGGAAGAAATAAATGAAAAATAGAGTAGATAATCCTTGCAGGTAGTGTATATCCCAGGATCCACATGAATAGCAGAGGAGCTCCCACCTGAGGATGGTGGAACACTTCATGTTTATTGGGATGGCACAAACATTACCTTGCCATGTGAGAGAAAGAAGTCCTATTAAGAAGCAGATTAAAAGGCGTTGTTTCTTGTATTCGTGTCTCTACTTCTAAACTGGTTTATTTAGTTACATTTTTGCCCTCTGAGTGGTTAAAATCTTTCCTTTGTGCTTGATAGCTCCCACAGACTGAAGTATTACAGGAGTTGGCCTTGGCTGTTATATTCAGTTCTGTTTTCCTGATAGTCTGTAATAGACTTTGTACTCGCTACTACTTTTTTTTTTTTTTTTTTTGTTAAACTGTGTGCTGTCTTCCTGGAAACATACATTCTTTTGGAGAATTTTCACTAGATACTGTTTCACTGTAAAACTCTTCATTTGGGGGTTTAACTTTTTTTGACTACTGCATTTTGTTCAGTCCTTTGCTTCCCAATTTACTCATTTTCTAAAAAGCTAGCTCTGTAGCAAGCTTGTATCACATCATCTGCATCTCAATCCTGTCAATAATAAAAATAACAATATTTAGAAGAGAACTGAAAATATTTAATACCTCATTTAAAAAAAAAAAAGAGAGAGAAAATATTCTCCTTTCGTGTTGTACATTTATTTCAGCGGGACGTTCTCTCTTTGTAACGACAGGGACTCCCTCTACTGGAAAATCCTATACTTGCACATTGATTCGATGCCCAAGGAAAAAGTTCTTTTGCGAGCTACGAAAAAGCCTTCTAAGCCCCTTACTAGCTCTTCAGGTTTTCATGCTGGGTTTCTTATTCAGATGTCTACTTCCTGTTTGGAGAGGGATAGCGTGGTTTTGTAGCACTGATCCTGCCTGATTGGGAATCAGCACCTTAGTGAATTCAAGACCTGAACCTCTAGATTTGGACCCCATGTTCTGAAAACTGCTGCATCAGGCATGGAAGTGCTCAGGCAACATCCTCTGCCAGACCTCTTCACTAATGTTGAGTACTTCAGCTAGAGATCATGGAAAATTAAGTCACTGGTCATCTTAGAAAACAAAAGACAACATAAATTAAGATACGTAAAACAAACCTCCACCCAATATGAATATCTGTTACTATTCAGACATTTAATTCATGCATTTGATTTCATCTCAGCTAACTCTGCATTCTCAAAATCCCCATGGTTTTCCCTCAAATCACTTGGATCAGAGAGTTCTTATGAGTCCAAATAGTTCTCTGTTAACAAAATACATCTCATTTAAGATACTAATTCTATTTTATCTCTAGAATTTTCTACACACAAATATTATTTAGATAAATTTTAAGGGAAGAACAGAAGTGTAAGGTAATTATCATACGCCACTACAGTATTTAAGGTCTTTGTGAACTGTGCATCTGAAATGGAAGAAAGAATGCGTGACAGAATTTAAATGAAACAGTGCCACAGAAAGGTAGTTGTGCACACACACTGATGCCCAGATTCAGGGACATTCTTTTTTTACTCTGGAGCAAATGCAAAGGTTATATGGACAAGAGTGTGCAAGTCCCATATGGAGGACAAAATACTGCTTGTCACATACGTTAAGCCACTCTGTTTGTATCCCAGAAAACAACAGTTTTGAAACCTCTGACTGACTGGATTTTTTTTTTCTACTGTTATTGAAAGGGAAGAAGACGAACAACTGAAGATATTAAGTGGTTTTGCCAGTTTGAAAGGAAACCTGGAGGGTCTTTCCCGTAACAGTGCCATTGAAACTCTGGGCCAGTGGAAGCATCTTAACTGGACAGCAGTAAAAAATGAACAAGATAATGTAAAAGTGAAGTTTGAACCTCATACTAACGGTGAGTGTTTTATGCAAGAGGAACCTCTCAGTTCTAACACTTCAGTTTTAGGCATTCAAAACAACTGCACCACAAACAGCAGCTGGAATTTAAGAAACTCTAGCTCTTGTTCTATGAACCAGCGAATGAACACGTGTTCAAACAGGAGAGCTGGATCATTCTACAACAGAGACCAAAATTTCTTAAATTTGGCATCAACTTGTCCTTCCCACTGGGGAAGTGTAGAAAACAGCCCATCTTACTCGGGTGTCCAGCAGCGCTGTGCAGAGAACTATGTGACAGACCATCTGAAACTGCAGAGACCATTAATATCCTCAGAGTCTCTCTATGACACAGCAGTTCCCTTGGAGATGCCTATCAAAATGGAATATGATTCTGATTCTGAAAACATTGCTGATAACTACCTGATGTCGCAAAACCGAGCGTGGCTGGATGAGAATGGCTCGGTGAGAAAGCAGGCATATAGCTACCCCAGTAGAGTGCACCTCAAAATGGAACCGGACCTCTGTGAGCCAGCCTTGCCTTGTCAGAAGCCAAGGCACTGCCTTTACACGCCACACAATTGGCAATGCATCGTAGCAAATCATCCAAACAACCTAAACTTGAACAGATCTTGCAAGGGTTCACGTAACAAGGAGGTGGCCCCATTTTGCCCTCAGAACTCCTCCATGTGTCTGGAAAGCATGCCCGACTTGCCACACGCAGCTTGCTATGGCCATTTCTACAGCCCCAGCCCAGGGGAGGAGAAAGAGCAGAATAATGAGGTGTTCAAAATGCCGTGTGAATTTAAAAACCCTTGCTTGGTTCAAGCAATCAAGCGTGAGCCCCTGGATTCTCCACCGTTGTCTAACAGTGGACAGAACAGAGTACATGTGAGCTTCCCTGAAAATACATTAGCAGGTCCTGTGCCTCATAAAACCACTGAATGTACATTTTTGCAATAGATTTTATAACATTTGAAATATTTATAATGTTAAAAGCAAGAAGTTGTAGATTCTCTTCCAGTTGGGTTAAGAGTTACTAAAATTAAAAGCCAGTGGAAAGATTTTGAAAGTGTGTGTGCACATGTGTGTGAGAAAAACAGACACAGACACACACATCCTACCCCTGCTACCACCCTTCTCTTAGTGATCTTTGGAAAGAGAAAAGAAAGACAAAACCTCAGGCAGAGAAAAATAATCATTACTTGCTGCACAGATATATCTGATAATTTGTCTTTATCATCTTTCCTCTCTTGTGTACAGTGCATTACGAAGGTCTAGAAATTTCTGTTTTCTGCTTTTGTCCTGTTTGTTTTTCTCAAGCTGATGTGATGCCTCTGTGCAAATCAAAGATGTTTATGGTCTTCAGTGTGGCCAGTTTAGCTTAGGAGCTTTTGCTTTTTAATGTTTTTTTCTACTCTAATAAGAAAGATCAGCTACTCCTTCATCTCAACACTGAATTGATGGCAAGGGCTTTCCAACAAAGGACCGTATTAAAAAAACTGACTTTCATAAAATGCATTAGAAATTATTTCTTTTCAAACTGTAGTTATTACTGAGTTTTCTTGATAATATTAATGTTTTAGAATCCATATTTTTCTATTTTAAAGTAATCTGACTTTCACGTTGCTATCTGAAAAACTGAACAACGGGATGTAATCCACTTCTTTAAATAAGTTACAAAATGTTGTTACATGTACTTGAGAACAAAGTATTTCTCCAACTGTTTCCCTTGTTTTTACTTGTAAAATTAACAAAGGAAATGCACTTTTTTATTTGATAGTATCTATTCGACTGGTAGCAATTTTTTAGACATCATCTACATCAAAACTGAATCCCATACTAAGATTATTTTCAAAAGCATCCTAGTTTCAATCCCAAAAGAAAATCTTAATCTCACTGAGGGCTAACTGGTGGATGTATACCTTTCAAAAGCACTTTGGTGCACTTTAGTGCTGTTGAAAACAGAGCGTATACTTTTCTTTGAACCCATGTAGTAATGTATTTCCAAAACAAAAAAAACAAATCTACAGCTTATATTTTGGGGTTTGTTGTTGTTGTTGTTTGACTCCTGCACTAACTTTTGTTTTAAAATTGCACTATTTCAACTTTATATCAACTTCACCTGTATAAAGACTACATCATTTAATAAATGCTTAGATGTATATGTGCTTTTTGAAAGAAGCCCTATAATGAATGTTTTCTTTTTCAAAGTGTTATAAATAACTATAATGTCTTCAATTCTATATCTATTAGTCACTAAGGGTGTGGCCAGAAGAGTGGCATAAAATTCTCCAAAATGCTATAAATATGTGGTATAAGTAGTCTTCAGGTAGTGCGATGGTTCTGCACCCAGGAGGCTGCTCTTCCCCAAGACTATCTGTCTTTTCTGATAGAAATTACTGCCTGTACTTTAGAGTTGGCATATATAAAGATACATATTCTCTGCATGTAAGCTAAGTGCTTATGAACAGTTTGATCAGAAATGCTGCACTTTGCACTGAAGTGGAACTCCCTGATGACTGTCCTGCACAAGGCAGTATTCCTAGCAGAAAGCAAGACTGGACAGTAAAGAGGGCAACAACATCTTATTGTAGCTCAAGTTAAACCTGTCATAGTCCAGCTGGCCATATCCAAGCCATGAGAATATTAGCTTTTTTGTGTTGGAGGTAAATCAGTTCCCTGTTGGCTATGTGCTGCCTCTTATTTGAGACAGTCTTGATCCTTGCCTTAGTACTCCCACCAGTGGGTGCAATGTATCATCAGAACCCATTCTGAAGCTGGACTGCAGTGGTGGAATTTACACCACTCCACTGCATCACTGTTCACATCACAGAAATCCAAGCCAAATTGCAAAAGTACCTGTGGGGTAGAAAACTGGTTACTAATGAAGAGTGAGACTGCCATGAATCAGCGTTGCTGCACAACCTCTGCCTCATTGATTCACTATCTACGTAATTATGACCATCTGTTCTTTTAGACTCTCAGAGTTGCTCTCATAGTCCTTTGCTTGGCATGTAGCAGTGGCACTGCTTATGTCCTGGTGCCAGACACTCTGCTGTGGTCTCATAGCTGCTGGTAGGGTTGTGCCATGAACCACGTAATATTCCCCAGTCCAGCTCCTTATGCAGCTGTCTGGCAGAAATGAGATAATGGGGAGACAGGGTAGTGTGGGAATAGATGACTGGGGGCAAGTGGAGGACACTTCTGCATGACCGCTGAAAAGCTGCTTATTTAATTCCACATGTGGAATCACTGTCACACCCTCCTGAATGAGACTACCTGGGCTTTGTTTCACACTACCTTGAACCTTCTCTCGTCATTTGCATTGATGAAACATGACTGTAGAACACTATTACCTTCATCTGGACATGCTGGCACCATTTTGCATGATGGGAGTGGTCACACCAGGTGCAATTCTGTAGAGGACTGTGCCACTGAATTACTTGTCTCTGCTTAGAAATATTCCCCGGCGTGATGACAGTGGGAGAAATATACCAGCCAGATTTCTCTCTTCAGTGCAGAAGCAATTTATATTAACAACAAACATTCTCTAAAATTCTCCCTGTTACAGAATAAATGCTTTTTGGTGACATAACTCTGTCTACTCTAGGGCATTAGTGGCTTATTTCAGTTAGAATTATTTTTCTCGTATTTCCAACAAGCCTAGATACATTTTACACATCTTGATTGATATTACAGAGGTAGATGAAGCTTCTGCATGTGAGGCAATCTAATCTGATACAAAAGATGTAATGGCCCTTTAGAAGGAAGGATGAATGTGTGACTCAAAAGTGAGATATCACATTCTGACTCCCCGCTGTGTAAATGCAGTTGGGTTTGTTTCCTTATAATTCCATAAAGTCAGGTTTGTTTCCTTATAATTCCGTAAAGTCTGAACCCAAGAAAAACTCAGTTATCCTGCACATCGCATTTGTATTTAGCCCACTTAATTTGTGGCAGTTTTTATTTCAGGTCTCACATGAAAAAAAAAGTGGTATCAGTGGAGTTCTTCCTAGTCTAAGTTATCACACATGCACTGCTGCAATTTCCCAAGAACTGGGCTTATCAAGAAATCAGCAGTTTATCCACTTTTTGGACAATTGTTAACCACTGTTGATAGCAAACAAAGATCAGTTCTTTCTAAGTTCTTGGGAAGAACAGAGGAAATTACCACATAAAAAGGATCTCTTCCTATTTGTGTTTAAGGCACAGATGTTATTCCTTCATCCTCTCCCCATGACATCTGCCCTGGATTGAGTCTTGACTGAAATCTCACATGGCATTGTACCTCGTACCCTGTTAAATTGCCACTGATTTAATCTTATAAAACCTTTTTGTATGCAGACATTAATGACCCCCTGACACTGACCAGTAAATAGCATGGAAGACACAGCAGTTCTTTAAAATGGTTACATTTTCTTAGAGGTTGTTGTTGCTTTGGTATTAGTTTAAAAACTAGCACTGAGAAGTGGTGTTTCAGATGTTTTCGATCATTTGTATTTAGATTATATTCTTAATGAACTGGTGTTTTATCTCTCAAGCACAGCCCTAAGGTCTCTTTCAGGAGCCTCCCAATATATTTATTGTAGCAACAATAAAAAAATATTCTTGTAGAAGAAATACCTAGTCAAACGGTTACCTAATAGGGACTTGGAGCATTCAGGCTGAAAGAAATGCCTGACAGATAATAGAATTCAAACTTCTTCAGCTGTAAATCCTCCAGAGAGTGAGACAGAATGAATTCTCTGATCTTTGGGGGGATATTTTTGGGTGTGGAAGAAAACCAGTTCTAAAAGCTGGGAGAAGGTGTTTCACCCTGAGATGTTACTTGGTCCACAGGTAGCAGAGACTATTATCAGTGCTACAGCTGCTGATCAAGGTCTTGACTTTACTGAGAATGTGGCCTGATTTCAGCTGCCAGCTGCTGAGCATCATAAAAATACTAGTCCAACACCATTGAAAGCCACTATTTTTACTGAAAAACAACATGATTTGACATACAGGTAAAGAAAAAAGAGTGAATTTTCTTGCAGTTACACCAGTGACTGAAACTGTGGCAGACCTCCACTGTAGATAACACAATAAGTAATTTATATTCACTTTAGAGTCTTTGGACACCTAAGTAAGCTTTGTTTCAAAAAATCTGACTGAGAGCAGCACTGTGCAAGTGGTAAACTTGTTTCAGTTGTCCTCAGCTTGGAGATTTAACTTGGGAAATGAAAGATTAAGGGACTGTACCTAAATTCTCTGTAGGAAAGACTTAACTTCCTACTCCTTGATTGTAGCATGGTAATGCAAAGTACATCTCTATGATTTAACCACACTTTACTAGAACACAGTGATGTATTCTTAAAATTATTAGAACTGAGTCTGCTCTGGATGATATAGGGAAGTCTGACATTTGAGCATTAGCAAGTTCAGTAAGACTTTAGGTGCTCATCCTTTGATATAGTATTGAGATCGACAGGGCATGTGCAATTCTTCCAGAAATTCCTAGTGCTTAAAATGCTTGAGAGGCAACAAGCCTGAGGCAAGGAATATGTGGGATAAGATCAGCTTCTGCTGCTCTTTACCTTGAAGCCATATTGGAATTTAAATAGGACAGCCTCACCCACAGCAGTTTTTTCAGAGAAGCCATTATTGTGTCAGAACAAGTTGTGACATTTTAATTGAAATAGTTAAAAGACACCATTTCCCCTACCTATGGATACATATATTGCCTTAAGCAGTGGTAAAAAATGTTAACATAATAATTTTCTTTCATTAGAGTGTCATGTAACTAGAAAAACAAACTCAGAATGACAGGGGTATAGAACCATTGTTCTATTTTTCTTTCCTTCTCTTTCTACTCTTTTCCTCTCTTTCTCTCTACTCTCTTAGTGTAAACATTAAAAATTGAAATACCTTTCTGATCATACTGAGACAAAATCCCTACACCTAAACTAGATTTTAGAAAATTT